TTGGCGGGCCACACGGGAGTCACTCGCGGTCCTTGTGTTTGACTCGTGTTCTAGAACAACAGTTTATACAGATACACATTATACTGTTTCGTATTTCTTTAACAATCCAACTTTCATCATTTTCTTAAATGTACACAGTGATCCAGCATTTTTTTTATATCACTCCCCAAATTATTCCATAGTTTTATTCCTTGAATTAAAGTACACCTTTCCTTCAAGCTAGTTCTGAATTTGGGTTTTGTTTTCAGTCCATCTGTTGCCTGTCATAAAACACATATCCTGTCAATTACTGCTTTTCTTCTACTGCAAAAACGTTTGAGATCTTCACAGATTTGCTTCAGTTTGAATGGTAAAATAAGTACTAAATAGTGCTTCAGTTGTGTCTTTCTTACTGTGATGTAGGAGTTGGCGAAGTGTGCCCAGCTAAACAGGTCCACCAGTCTGTAGAGGCTGGCTAGTTTACAGCGGGTTTGCTTCTCGCCTTTCACCATGGTGGAGGACTCCACTCCGTACAAGTCGTTGATGGGAGTTACCATCCCCAGACCTGAAAGGATCACATCAAAGTTAAACAAAAGGGAGGGAGGGATGGGGAGGGATGATATACTATATCATGAAACCACTCAGGGCCAGACATCTGCATCCAGCATCTGGATATTTTTCAGTGATATATCTGCCCTCCCTGGCTCCACGTTCAAATCCTAAATTACATTTGGATTGAACGTATTCTTCCCCTCCTTAGACGTCACTGTTGGTATCTTTTAGGGAGGCTCTAAAATAAACTGCTATATTGTCTTTGACATCTAATGCTGCGTTGGCTGTACATTCCAGTGCACTGATTGGAAGCAGATTTCACATGTGGATTTCTGGACAGAACTTTGCAGAGGATCAAAACCCAGAAAACTATTCGCAACTCTTCCGGAGTCTGGAGTTGTGATGTCTAAGAGCATTAATGCCCTAAAGCGCACAAAGAGCTCGTGTTTGGAAATGGATCTCCACTCCACCCTCTAGTTTTTTTTGTTTTTGCTTTGGGTTTTTTTTTGGTGAAGTTCCACCGTCTTTGCTCTGTGGGTCAGGGCACTTCATTCTGATGAATCTTTGTGTGGGGTTGCCCTGTGCAACAGGCCGTGGCACAACAAGCACTCACTGAGAGGGGATGTGTTGAAGCCGGCCACTGAGCTGGCCATGACAAAGTCTGCGATCTGCCTGAGTGCCAGGAGTCCAGTCGGGTTGTTCCCTTTTCTCTGCTGTTCCTGGATCAGACTTTCCAGCTCTTCTTTGAACGCCTGAGAGAAAGAAAGACAAAACAAAGAGAGGAGGATATAATATTAAGAGCTAAGAGAAGACTAAAGACTAAAGTTAAATCCAGAACCCCAAACTCAAATATTTTCATTCAGGTTCAGATTCAAGAGAGTTTACTCACTTCACAAAGCTTTTAAGATGAAAAGGGCATAAAAAAGGAACAACAAAAAGACGGTGAAACAGGTGAAAGTCTGACGGAGGAATTAGGGATTAGTGGTGGAAAGAAAACAAATCAGTGAAGAAGAATTGAGTGTGGGAAATGACAACACGACATGAGGGAGACGTGTTAATCGTGGGTTAGAAATCCACCCTGAGTGTCAATCTGACCCGTCCCAAAAAAGATCGAGACGTGTCAGGGTTGGTGGTTATGTGACCGACTGTGTGGTGCGACAGGCAGAGTGTGTGCATCTGTGGCTAATCCTCGTGTTCAGATCACAGAGAAAAATACATCGTAAAACACAAACAGCACTAACACACAGCTGGCTGAACGGATGTACAGTAAGGGATTAATTTCATCTTCATTTTGCTTCAAAGCTCACGTCCCTCATAATGCCTGAACACGTGCAACAAATTATCGAGCATGAATCGTTTTCTCAGCAACCATGAAGATTACAACTGTAGATGCACTTGAGTCAGTACGTCTGAAATGTGTTGAAATTGTGGGGTTGCTCAGGTTCGTTCAGACTCAGGTTGTTGTCTGTAACAGCATACAGCGGGTAAAATAAGTATTGAACACGTCACCATTTTTCTCAGTAAATATATTACTTGAGGTGCTAATGACATGAAATTTTCACCAGATGTCGGTAACAACCCAAGTGATCCATACATACAAAGAAATCAAACCATATATGTCCAGAAATGAARTTRTTTGTAATAATGTGGAATGGCACAGGGAAAAAGTATTGAACACATGAAGAAAGGGAGGTGTAAAAAGGCATGGAAAGCCAAGACACCAGCTGAACTCTCTCAGTAATTAGAAAGCAAGCCTGCCCCTTGTCAGTGCAAGTTAATATCAGCTGGTTCAGTCCCAAATGATGGCCAGGTATCACACAAGAACCATCTGATGATGGGTAAAAGTAAAGAGCTCTCTCAAGACCTTCACAACCTTATTGTTGCAAAGCATCATGATGGCATCAGTTACAGAAGAATGTCTAAACTTCTGAAGGTTCCAGTGAGCACTGTTGGGGCCATAATTCAGAAGTGGAAAGAACATTACTTCACCACAAACCAACCACGACCAGGTGCTCCTCACAAGATTTCTGACAGAGGAGTGAAAAGAATTATCAGAAGAGTTGTCCAAGAGCCAAGGACCACTTGTGGAGAGCTTCAGAAAGACCTGGAATTAGCAGGTACGTTTGTTTCAAAGAAAACAATAAGTAATGCACTGAACCACCATGGCCTGTATGCACGCTCACCACGCAAGACTCCACTGCTGAAGAAACAGCATGTTGAAGCTCCTTTAAAGTTTGCTGCACAACATTTAGACAAGCCTGTGTAATACTGGGAGAATATAGTCTGGTCAGATGAGACCAACATTGAACTGTTTGGATGCCAGAATACACATCATGTTTGGAGGTCAAATGGCACTGCACATCAGCCCAAAAACACCATACCAACAGTGAAGTTTGGAGGTGGGAACATCATGGTATGGGGCTGTTTTTCAGCATATGGTACTGGCAAACTTCAAATAATTGAAGGAAGGATGGGTAAAAAAACGTACAGAGACATTCTTGATAAAAATCTGCTTCCATCTACCAGGATGATGAAGATGAAACGTGGCTGGACATTTCAGCAAGACAATGAGCCCAAACACAAAGCCAAGGAAACTCTCAGTTGGTTTCAGAGAAAGAAACTAAAGCTGCTGGAATGGCCCAGCCAATCACCTGACCTGAATCCAACAGAAAATCTATGGAAAGAACTAAAGATCAGAGTTCATAGAAGAGGTCCACAAAACCTTCAAGATTTGAAGACTGTTTGTGTGGAAGAATGGGCCAAAATCACACCTGAGCAATGCATGCCACTAGTTTCTCCATACAGGAGGCATCTTGAAGCTGTCATTGCCAACAAAGGCTTTTGTACAAAGTATTAGATAAATTTCAGTAAGTGTGTTCAATACTTTTCCCTGTGCCATTCCACATTATTTCAAATAACTTCATTTCTGGACATTTATGGTTTGATTTCTTTGTATGTATGGATCACTTGGGTTGTTACCRACATCTGGTGAAAATTTCATGTCATTAGCACCTCTAGTAATATATTTACTGAGAAAAATGGTGACGTGTTCAATACTTATTTTACCCGCTGTATATAAGGGATTGACCTACAGCACGTGTCAAACTCAATGACCTGATGAGGCCCACCACAGCATTTCCTGTGGCCTGCAAAAGCTTTAAAGATGTATTAATCCCTTCGAATCGTTTCAGTTTCTGTTTTAAAACAGAAACTGAGACTTTTTGTGGCTTTTTTTCTTTTTCTTTTTCTTTTACTTTTTTGACACAAATTGTAATATAATTACTTTCTGTCAACTAACTTTAAATGAATGCCTGTATGAGGTGGTCCACCACATAAAACAAACCCCAACTGGGCCAGCTGTGGCATGCTATCTTAAAACAAGACCATTGTTGCCAGATTGGCCCACGTCTGTCTGCTATGTGGGTGGTGTATTGACTTTGCATTTTATCACTCTGCAGCCAAAAAGGATCCCTTATTAAGAAAATAAAGTATATATGATTTGGTATAGTGTACTCCATTAAAATCATAGTGTGAAATTATTCATTGCTGTAATTTGGTTAGATTAAAGTGTGATATTTAAGCTTTTATGGTATGATAATAAATAATTTTTATATTTTTTTCAGTTTTAATACTTCTGTTATAATATACTGTACTATCTACATTGGATCTAGTTTTGGCTTCAGCTGCAATAATCACCACTATACATCAAAACCTCTGATTGGTGTAGTTTATTATGTGAGGGTTTGAACAGGCTTATGGGAAACAGATTCTACAATAGACATCTGTGAATACAGATCACTGGAGCTTTCAAACGAGATGGAAGTGTAAAAGCATCTTTTTTTCACTTCTAAAAGCACACAGTGGATCTAAAACTCATCAGAGTCATTTCTGACCAATTCAGTCTTTACTATATCTTTAAAAATGACATACACTTGTGACAAAACCATTGGTATATCAAGCGAAACAGGTCAGGACACACTTCCTATGAGATAACACTTCTAGAAAGAGCAACATCTAAAATTCATGCCTTCATTTCATCCGACTGCTCATCCAGCAGTGGACATGTTCCCAGTGGAGCTCTGCACAGAAACATCTCTGATGCTTTAACTCTGCCGCAACATCCCCGCAGTAACCCCATTAAACGGGTCCATTAGTGAAGCGCAAACAGAGAAGGGCCTTTGGTTTTGTCCCTCTCTCCTTCTCTGTGTGTGTATGTTTGTGTGTGTTTTGTTAAAACTGGAGCAGATCTCTGTGCTGGGAGACATACAGTTATAGGACCTCGCTGGTTCTGAACTGCAGCCAGACATTCCTCTGTCTCTGGTAGGGAGGTTGCTGTGGGAACAGGTTGATGGCGGATGTTGACAGTGGAGGTTTAGGATGTTTTTGTTTGCAGCGATTGGTGCCGAGTGTCAGAGCTTCAGATGGTTTTTTAGCCATTGAAATGTCATCAGAACCACAGAACTCGAACCAGAAATGGAGCCAGAGCACGGATGATTGTCGCTCCTGATCCAACCAGAACAGGCTTTGTTTCCAATCCGTGTTCGAGTCTGCCCGCCTTTAAACTAACAGATAGTTTGACATTAGTTGTTTCTGTAAATTGTTAACAGACATGAAGTAGAATTTAGTGACTGTACATATAAACTTGTAAACTTAACTAGGGATGAACCAATATGAAAATTTCAGCCGATATCGATATCCAATATAATTATTGCAGTTATGGCCGATAACCGATATTTACAGATATTACACAAACACAAATTATGTTATACATATACGCACAAACACACTTGGGTCTTTTTTAATAATGTAAATGAACAACCAGACCTCTGACATGGCTCTACTTCAGTTATTCCTGGCTACACACCATCAATATCACTATCATGATCAAACAGATACTGCTCAACCAACCATCTCCACTCCCAAATCAGAAACATAAAGTTGAAAAGTGGGAAATCAATACTGGACGTTACCGATATTAATGACGATAAGTTAAGTTTAAGGGCATCCTTAAACTTAACCATTTACAACTTTATACGCTAACATTTTATGTGTTATTATGTCTGATGTGATAACAAATGCTTGTATTAATCTCAAACTAATTAAACGTTAAGTATTTAGTTACTTTGAAAATGACCTGGAGAGAGCAGTGTTCATTTTTATTCACAAGTGTAAAGTGCTCACCTGACAGAAACAACGCCCTGCAGCAAAAAAAGCTATGAAGTGAAAGTGTTTGGAAACAGTAGCTGGGGTGCCCAAACATTTTCCCCAAGAGGGCCAAAATGAAAATCCATCCGGGGCCACAGGCCAAATGCAGTAATATAATACATGAAATACAAATACTTTTTAAGTAAAGTCCTTTATTTGAACAACTACGCTAGCAGCCAGTGTGGTCGCCTGTTTTAGTGTGTACACTTGGAGAAAGTCTGCCATACGTTCAAGTAGCAAAGGCTCATGGGACATTTTATAAATTGATAAAATCAGTTTTTGTGGCCTTATAAAGTGTGCAAAGTGTGTGGTTAAATCTGATCTAAATATATCTTGTTGTTACTTGTTTTTCACTGTGTTTCTATATAGGACAGCAGGTTACAACTGCTGGTGGGCCAAATCAAATGGCTTGGGCCCCACTTTGGGCTCCTCTGATTTAGAGCTTATAAAACTAAAAGTATGTGCTGACAAATTAAGATAACAAATATGGGAGAGCAGAATTAGGATATCATAATCATGACAAAAACGTGAGCCTTTTTACCAAAAA